CCCAAAACCCCAAAACCCCAAAACCCCATGAAGAAGGTATTCAAATTCTCGTGTATAAATTACTGAATCCAAATTATAAATAATTTTAATAAATGGGAAGTTTTATATCCTAGGTGAAAGCGGTAAATGATTTGAGAACAAACTGCCATCTCATAAATTTATCATTGGCTAAAATCAGAGAATTACATGGTGGATTCAAAAGTATTTGCGATAACTTTGCCATTAACCTTACTGAATTTGAAAGTATATTTTCCTCTAATGAGGCAACTTTCGCTATTTGGGATACTGATAACAATGGTAAAATTTCCGCAATATAGACATTTTCAACAAAATATAAATAGGATTAATTGACGCTCTTGAATTATTTGCAGGGATTATTATATTCTCAGACTCTAAAGCTGAGGATAAAATTAGATGTAATATTTCATAACTGAGGCTTAAAATTTGCTTTTGATATAGTTTAGTTTGATTTGTTTGATTTCAATGAGATCTAGAGTTTGGCTTTGATGGATTTGGAATTCTGCATTCAGTGCGTATTGATATCGACTTCCAAAATATATCAGGTAGGAGATGATGTCTCAGATCTTGAAATTACAAATCTAGTTAGATCCTCCTTTCCGGAGGGAGCTAGAGTGACATTGACTTAACTTTTAAAGTAAAATTAATATTAATCTTAATTTCATAATAGATGGTGTGCCTAAACTGAAGAAATTATGCAGTTTTTTAAGATTTTTAGAATGGAAACTCCTGATTTTATCAGCCATAAAATTTTGAGAGAGAGTGAATTCATTATATATGATAAGCATAATGTTGATAAAAATTAGAAATTTCCTCCAAATTATGGTACAAAGCCATTTTAACCAAAGAGTGCTGCTTAACTTATCAATAATAGAAGGTCTTAGAATTTCAGAAGTTGGCTTAGTGCTGCTTTACAGCCTATTATTGCTTACAGACTAAATTAGAAGACTATCCATAACTATATTAAGGAACCTGATGAGATTAAATCTAAAATGGAATGGGTTTATGGAATAAGATGTGGAGATACTAAAAGACCTCTTCAGTACTCAGTAGGCAAGCATTTAGCTTAGTCAACAGGGACCCGAGAGAAATATGAAAAGTCAACTTGGGAAAATAATGAGGAGATAATTTATTTCACTGCTGCTATAATTGTTCTTTTTAATCCCAAGATTAACTCTTAGAGGTTCTATTTGCAACATGATTAGGAGATTTTAAGTTTGACAATATCTAATTAATCAGGAGATATTATAGCATCCTCTGAAATAGCAGATCATCCTAAAATCCATATTTGGCATTCAAGAACATTAGAAAATATAAACATCTTGAAAGGCATACACAGAAAAGGAGTTCATCTTATGGCATTTTCAAACGATGATAGATACTTGGTAACTTGTGGTCTTCAAAATCCATCTGCTGTCATAATTTATGAATGGAGAACTTCTAGTGTCATTATTTCAACATCTGTAAGCATATTATATTTTTAACTGTTTAAAAGATCAGTGGACCAACTCAGGATATTTTTTCATTGCCTCAGATACATGACTAATACTTGAAAGAGAGAGAGCCCTCTGAAGAATTAGAATAAAGAGGTAGAATGGTTCAGTAAAAGATAAAGAAAGAGGACGGTATTGTCGTGATAAGTGAATTTGAGATAATTGTTTTTATGAAACAGACAGATATGTTTACTATACATTATATTTCATTTGCTGAGGCTAAAGGTGACTGTGAGGCTAGAGCTCTTTGTGGACTAGCGATTATTGCTGATCATAAAAATCAATTTTACAAATAGACAGGTGAATTCGGAGAGAAAAAGCATATATTCTTAACTGGGCACTAAGATGGCAGGGTGTTAATTTGGAAGCTTTATCAATATGTGGGGGTCTTGCACAACTATAAGGATGAGATTACTGCTCTTTCTAAATGCTTTGAAGGTATAGCAATAGGCACAGTTAGAGGATATATTTATATTTGGGACAATTATCTTTTAAGATGTACAAAAACAATAGAGTTAAGTACTCTTCCCTTCAAAATTCTAAGCTATTATATTGTCAACATAGGTATATAATATTAAAATTCATAGATTTAGATTTTAATCAAAAGAAGCTACTAATATTGACTCTATCTGGTGATGTTATAGAAATAAGTTTAAGTGAGTTGCATTAAACAAAGATCAAAGCTAAAAGAATAAACTCAATTACGAAGATAAATGGAACAATAAGAGCTATGTGTTTACTAAATTAAGTTGAAAAGACTGTTATGATTGGAGGAGATTAGGGAATAGTTTGTTCCTACGATCTTGCAACTCATGATTTGATAGATATTTGGAGTGTTGGAGCGAGGATTACTGCTCTTGCATGTTTATCCCTTGAAGATGGAGGATTCATTGCTGCTGTAGGTACAAATGAAGGGAATTTAATCATTCGATAAGATTGGGAGGAAATTATACCAAGACATCATGGCTGTGGATAAAAAACTATAAATGACATTAAATTTTCAAAAAGTGGTGTGATGATTGCAGTTGCTAGCACTGATAAAAATATATACCTCTTTGAATATAAAGATAATGATTATGTCAATTTGGTAGCTTGCAGGCTTGAAGAGGGGTTTCCAGTTTCACTAAATTTCTCAGAAGATTCTACAAAGATAGCGGTTAGCACAAATCAAAGAAAGCTTATTCTACTAGATCCAGCTGATTTCACTCTATTACCAACTGAGAGTGAGTTATGTGCTGTATTTTGGTCTTCATTTGTAGGCAGGTATCCGTTAATCACAAAATCTCCTAGTACCAATATGGTCCCTTATGCTCTTGGAAATTTAAGTAATTTAGTTGCTGCTGGTGATGAAAATGGAAATATATATTTCTGGAAGAGTGTTTTTAACATAAAAGATAATATAGGACTTAATTTTACTGGACATACATCTCACGTTCAGAGAATAGAATTAACTGTTGATGATAAAAGATTATTAAGTGTAGGTCTCTAAGACTAAACATTATGCTAATGGAAAATAGACTAAATTATAGAAGAATCAACTGACATTCACGGAACAATTCAAGATAATCAGCAAGCAAGAAGGAATAATCATATATCTGATGATGACTCTATTATCAATGAAATGAATTATAACTTCTCAAAATTTCAAAGTAATCAAGACTCATTCAAGGACAATACAGTTTTGATCAGAGGTTCAATTAGTACTACTATCAATAAAATATTGTCAAAATTGCACTTTGAATATGAGGATAAAAGCTGGAAGAAATCACCTGCTATGTCCCTAGTTATTGAACATATTTACGGAGTCTAGACTGCAGATAAAAGATAAACTGTAATGTATGTTCATTTTTCAGGAACAACAGAATAATCAAGAAATGATCCGAGCAAAAACTAAACCAAATCTGCTTCTGAAGCTCTTGGTTTGACTGGATCTGCAAGTGCAAAGCTAGATATGGTTTTGCCTAAAATTCTAGGAGTCAATTATGCAAATTTGATTAATGACCATCTAAATATAACCTATGATCCCAAGCATTAGATTTGCTAGAAATATTTAACTTACTTTACCTCAAGATTTGCTATTGTCTATAATACTGGCAAGAACTCTCAAACTTTCTACTAAGGACATTCATTAAAAATCTCAGCAATAGCTAGACATCCAACAAGCCCTTTTATTGCAACAGGGGAGGTAAATTCAAATCCATCAATTCATGTATGGGATGCAACCAACTTAGAGACTTTAATTGTTTTAAAAACATCGCATAAAGGTGGCGTATTCCATATAGCATTTTCAGGAGATGGATAGCTTTTAGTTTCAATTGGAGTAGATTTTACTTATTCAATGCAAATATTTCACTGGTAGTAAGGTAGAACGATGGCATTTAGGAATACTGGATATCTTCCAATATTTGGAGTTAGGTTTAATCCTTATGATAAAACATAAATCATTACCTGTGGACTTGAACATATGGCTGTTTGGTAACTAAAAGGTCCTCATCTAACTTGCTAAACTTTCTAAAAAACTATGACAGTTTCTACTTAATTACTGGATGAAAATAATGAACCATCTTCGACAACATCTACAAAAGGATAAAGATGTATTCTACTCTGTTTGGATTTTATCTCGTTTAAACTTGGAAATTCAATTCAGAATGATATTGTCTTTGGCTCAAGTCTTGGGGAAATAACTACTTTTTGCAGTGGTAAGCATTTTATACTTAATCCAAATGCTCATGATGGAGCTATAAATTGCATAAAGGTTACAGACTCAATGACTGATAGAGTGAATATATTTACTGGAGGAGAGGATGGCTTTATTAAACTATGGGATGCTTCTCTAAATCTTATTTAGCAAATTGATATGAGAAAAGTAAAAATCATTGATGATCTTAAAAACAAAAAGGCATTTGCAGTTTAAAGTCTTGACATCTATGTTTGTGATAGAAAAGATCCAAGAAGAATTCTTGTTGGTCTAAGATGCGGAGAAGTAATGGAGTCAATCGTTACTGAAAGTGATAGAGAGGAATCAAAGATGAATTAAATGGTTGATAGAAGCATGGGATAAAGGTAAAGACCTTTACTTAATTTCAACTTCTATCAATATCTATCCTCTCATTCATCACTTTACAGGAATCAAAATCATAAAAAGGTATTTGTTGCTATGTACCCCCTTAAGAAATATGGTATATTAGCTTCAGTAGGTGATGATGAAACACTAAGATTATGGGATATAGTTAAACATCAGCTGATGACAACTAAAAATTTAGGTACTTAGGCTACATCTCTTAGTTTCAGTCCTGATGGATCTTATTTAGCAGTTGGACTTGTTAATGGTGTTTTCCTTCTATTGGATTCCAAGATTGAAAAACTTAATTATGGTACCTATATGGAGGAATATCAGAAGCCCACACTTGATGTAAAAATGAGTCCTAAGGAAAGTAAGGCTGCTATCCTGGCAATAAGATTTTCGCATAGAGGAGATTTTATTGCTATAAGCTATGACAATGAGCATAGACCTCCTGAAGCTGCTTAGAATTAAAATTAATAAAAAGCACCAACCCAGACGAAAGCATCAGAATTAAATTAGAAAAGAGAAACTAGTTTCGTTTTGCTTTATGTCAATAGATAATCAGGAAGGAATCCTGGAATTAAGCTTAACTCAAAAGATCCATATGTTAGATTTAACAAAATTGTAATCCCATTAGCTGAATATCAAGCTCCAGTCTAGATTAGACAGATGCTAGCTATAACTTAAATGGATTTTTCTGAAGATGATTTCTTTCTTGAAATGTGTACTTAAAAAGTAGATTCAGATCACATCAGAGATTACACTGAGGGAGAAGATATTTATGTTGTCTTTGATATCTCTTAGAACTAAATTGTGTCAGATTTTGACTTGCTAAAGAAAGCGGAATGGCCAGAGTGGAGTTTATCTAATGCCATTAATGCTAGGTTTTAAGGCAATCAAATTACCCCTGAAAACATTGAGGAAGAAAAAAAGCTAAGACTAGTTGAGTAATGTATAATGACATCTATCTCAAGATTCAATCTTATTTAAAATTCTGTTTGTGGTAGCATTAATGGAGACCTTTACTTATTTAGATATCCATCACTGTTTATTGATAAAAATAACGTCATTGATTTCAGTATCGATAAACTAAGAAAGATTGATATGGCCCTAACAAGAGGATTTTCAGCTCATACTTCAATGGTGCAGTGCACTGAAATTCATGAAGACAATTATATATTTTCAACTGCATTATCTGACTAATGTATCATTCAGTGGAAGGTTTAATACGAAGACCAAGATTGGGAATTAGATTTTAATAGATTTTAAGTTGATAAAACTGATCCTTTTGCAGAAGTACCCTCTGCTGAGAGATTTAAAGTATTAATGTCTGAAATATGGACTCAAAGACTTGAAGTAGCAGAGTAATAATAATAGATTAAATTATATTTTAGGACTAATTAAAATATCGATCAAGAAGAATATATGAAGCCTGCTTGCGATCTTAAATTAGAGGTATCTGCAATCTTTTAATTTTTTATAGACTGTTATTGGTAGGAGAGCTTTTGATAGAAGAAACAATTTAAAGATTGATTGCTAAGATAAAATTATTTACAGTGCTGGATCTTTAATAATCTTTCTTTCTAAAAACGATGATCCAGACGCTGAATGCCCAGTTCTTCAAGAGTTTTTGACTCCAGAAGAGCAAAGATTTACAGCAATCTCCCCCGAAGTCTCAACTTTTACTTTATCTGATGACAGAAGAATTCTGGTTATTGGTACATCTTAAATTGAGGCAAATGTATTCATATGGGAAATTAGTACTAATTTACAGCTAGCTAGGTATTCAAAATATATTTTTAAAATTTTAGACTAATATTACCAAACTGCTCAATAGTCCAGTATTTGAAGATAGCTCATGATAACAAGCACATTATAATCATTGTATTATACTTTATTTTTAAATGTTCTAGGGTCTGACCAAAGATTACATTTAAGTCATTATGATTATGGATTATACAACCTAGACTGGTATAAGCTTTATAAATTTAAATACATTTTATAGTCAATATTTACAGGCAAATCATTCATTCCTTACCATACAAGATCAAGGATGTCGCATTTTTTCCTGGTAGTACAAGAAAATTCGTAACCTGTGGAATTCAACATATGTGTTTTTGGAGATAAAGTGGAAGAAATCTTGAGAGTTAAATTGGTGAGCTTACTATACCTAAGGTAAATACCCAGATTTTAAATCAATTTTTATTAGACTTTCAATAACCTTGGTGATGGTGTATTCAGTCATGAGGCTTAGAATCAAAATAAATTTGGACTGTCACTTGTATGTGATGATATTGATCCTTAAATGCTTAAAAATAAAAGTCAAGAAGAAGAGTTGGAGAACATATTTGTTACATTCCTAACTATAGGATTTCTAATGAATACACTTATTGCTGCAGGTGATGATGGATTTGTAATTTTGACTATTTAATATCTTATAGTTGTATCTTTGGGAGCATGATAAGATTGTGCGAAGAATGTTTGCACATTAGGGCTCAGTCTTAGCTCTTGATACTAATGTAAATGCTGGACTTATACTTTCAGGTGGAATGGATGGAACTGTTATATTATGGAGGCTATTGATAGAACCAAGATCAAATATTAAATCACTAGATAAGCTCAAGACATTATCTGTAGCTAAAAATATAGATCCTTAACAAGCAGTAATGGATCCCAAATACAATGTTCAGAGTGTCTGCCTAGGGCATAACAGAATTATAATTGGAACAAGAAGTGGTAATGTACTAGAATCAAAGATCAATGAAGCTGGTGAGGACTCAAAACTTATCAAACCTACTGGATCAAAATAAAATCTTCAAAGATGGATAAGCTGCATAGACAATGAAACGCCTAAATCCATTTCAATTGATATGAGAAGTAGCAGAATATTTATAATCACTCACAAGGGTTATTTCTCAGTTTGGGATCTTAACACATTCGATGTAATTTTCACTAAAAACTTTGCTAAAGTTTCAAGATCAATTATTTCCTTCAAGCTTTCAAATAAAGTCATGCTTATATTTGAGAACGAAATCATAGTCCTTGACAGCAATCCGGTAAAAAAGGAGTACGAGGAAGTTCCTTCTTACAATTTGAAGCTTAACACAATTTCTGATGCAAAGCTAAATCATAATGAGAGAATTCTTGGTGTAGCAACTACTTCTGCTGCTGCTCCAGAAGTTACGCTTTATGATACTGATAACGGTTTTACTAAGATGAAAACGCTTTATGGATTTAAGTCTAGCATCAAATATATAGATTTTTCCACTGACAACTATTATCTGTAATGCGAAGACAATCTGGGTGAAGTATTACTTTTCGAAATAGAAACTTAGAGAGTCATTCATACTGATGCTATTGATTTTGAACTAGAGTGGCTTGGAGAGGGTCTTAGAAGCTATTCACATCTTAAGGGTATTCACTATTGGTACAATCAGAGTAATAAAATCTAACAGATAGCAAAGGTAATTGGCAGGCCCATTGTTGTAGTAGGTGATGAGCTAGGGACTATTAGACTATTTAATTATCCCAATATTAGTGGATAGGGCTATTATCAATGCTATAGTGATCATTTGTTTTCAATTACTAACTGTCTATTCAGTCCAGACAGAAAATTTTTACTCACAACAAGCGAGATGGATAGATGTATATTCAAATGGAGAGTAAACTACAAATTAGAAAGGATCAAAGAACTTTAACAGCAGAAAGTTCATTAATGATTTTATTTATTCTTAATTTCATAAATTCAATGCGCATAAAAATTCATTCTTATGGGGTTTTGGGGTTTTGGGGTTTTGGGGTTTTGGGG